GTCCCCCATCTGTGTTCTATACATTTCTGCATTGTCAGTCTTAATTTATTAACTCCCAAATAAGATGACTTATTGGTGCTCTGTATTTGTTCTGTTTTAGTATTATATAGTATGCATGTACATTTATGATTGCTATGATATATTTTGTGTTGATACTCTGGACAGGATACATTAAACTCGAACACATACCTAGGCCATTTCAGTCTACCTCAACTAAACTTTTGGTTACGAGTTCAGTCTCCCAACCTAATGTGTCAATTATTTCTTTTTTAAAACGTTATAGTTAAACCTTGCTTTCCTGTGGACAGTCCACTTGTGTTTCTTCCCATGCATTTGTCACTGAACCCGTTTGTCACCATCTGTGAGTTTCACTGTTCTTTCTGCTGCAGGTGTGAGGTGCAGTCCTGCTCAGCCATGGACACCTGTGCACGCATTAGAGGAGTCCCATTAAAGACCCGTGCAGCCATTAGGAAGGAGGTCAGCCCTTCTATACGCTTCATATCTGTCTATAATTACTCATAACTTTTAATTGTATTATGGACAGTTAAAATGTACAGTACCAGCCAAACGTCTGGACACACCTACTGAAAACCATTTGCTTTTCAACAAGATCGTGACACTAAGCACGCCTCGAGGATATGTGGCATTGAAGAGTCTAAAGTTACAGAAGCTTTTGAGATGTTTAGCACTTCCTGGGTCATTGCAGTATTTGATATATATTTCTTCACTGCCTCGAATCCATGTCCTATGAGGTTAATCGCATAAGCAAAATAGAGACAAATGCATAAAAATCAGTTGTGTGAGACTTTTGACTGGTACTGTAGGTTCCATCTACCTGATGACCTGAAATTTAGAAGCATTCAGAATGTATGTACTGCCGTAACTCCTGGATCAACCCTTCTTGGATATTTAAATAAAAGGATAATTCTTTAATAATACACAATTAATATAGATCTTACTAAAAACAGTTCACTCAAAAATTATTGTATTTCCTTGTGATATGTGTACCATGTTATAACATATAAAGCATTATCTTATCTTACAATCAGGTACCTCAACAAGAAAGAAAACAGTAAATTCCCAGTGTACTTCTGATTCATATTTATATCTTTAACATGTATTGTTGAAGGTTTTCTGTCCAACAGCACGTAAAACACGTACTGTTGCTTAGGAAACCCCATCAAAAAAAAACTAGGCACTATTGGCTGTTTAATATAAATGAAACGGTATAGTTGAAATGATCAAATTTCCGTGGTGTTTACATTTCATAACAATCTGTTGCTTTAGGGGTGTAAAACGTAAGCTTTGGCATGATACAAATCGATTTCGATTTTGAAAGGCAGCATTTCAATATCTAGCTTTATTTAAAATGTTACATTTATCATTTTAACAACAGAATATGGTGGGAAAACTATACTAAGTGGTTTAACAATGTATCAAACAATACAAGTTTAAAAAATACAATTTCTGCACAAGAAAAATGCTGTCTTCGATTTATACTTTAACAAGAAAAACACAATTTCTGGATATGTATTGGTTAAACATAGGGACACAAGTGTACTAAATTACATAAAATATGGTGTAGTTCATTGGTCTATACTCTCTACTAAGGTGAGTCACTGGATTACTTTATGTGAGATTTTTTCCATGGGTTTTTTTTTTTGGTTGAGTTTCAGCATATTGTCATAGTTTAATGATATGAATCGATATTTCTTAAATGCATCGATTAAATCGTACCCTGGCTTTAACAATTGATACATCGATTAAAATTCAATTGTTACACCCCTAATGTTGTTGATGAGCTTATTAACAAGTTTCATCAGTGTTGAGTACATTGAGTTTTGTATTTATGTCCCTTTAAAGATATTTTCTAATCATGTATGTGGTATATTTTTCACACATCTGAATTATATCACAGGATGGGAGCATTTTAAGCCATTCAGTGCAGGTCCATGTCTCACAAAGCAGGATCTCTTGCTTAGCCGGATAACTTGTTGGATTTGGTCTGGGATAAATTTAAGTGAACAAAGCTAAAGTCCATTTAGCTCAGACTACAATCTTAAATCTGACAAGTTTTCCTGCTAAGCAAGAAAGAAAAAGGTAGAAAAAGGAAACAGGCCTCAGGTCTTTTACTCTGATATAATGAAGAATGTGTGAAAGGGTAGAATCTCTCCTTGGCTCCTCTGTCCAGGCCATCCGTGACGGCTCCGTCCCTCTCCTGAAGAGCCTGCTGAAAAGCCGGAAGGAGCTTAGTGCTGTCAGTGTGGGCCTGCACTCTGGAGATCTGCCGTGCTTGACTGAGGTGTGTGTCAAAGTCGAGTGTCTTCTGGACACAGCAGTTTCCCGGGAGTTTCACATTCTATATTCTATTGGAAAAGATATTTGCCGTTGGTACATTTTAATTGAGGGGGCACAAATACTTTGTAGTAATTCAGTTTATTGTGTTCATTACTTGTTTTGGTACCACTGTACAATAAGGCCAATAGTAAATGGTAGTAACAGTAATAAAAAGAAAACTGTGTTGTAACTTGTTTAAAATTGTCTATTAATAATGTACAAAGTGTTACAACCTAATTAATAACCAGATTATAAACCATTCATAAATGCTTTATATGGGTAGCCTTGTTGTAAAGTGGCACCCTTGTTCCTTAGTAGTTCCTTCTGTAGTTTCTTCAGTACTTCAGTTTTGTTCCTTCAGTTATTATACAGAATTAACCAGTATAATAACTGCTTAGGATAAAACATGTCACCATTAATTAATGATGAATAAAAACAAGATCAGTATTTAACATGTTAATCGTTACTTGTTCCTTCAGTAGTTCCTTCAATAGTTCACGAAGGTTTACGTTATAACCGATATAGTAACAAATTTAGTAACTGCTTGAGATAAAACATGTCACGATTCATTAATGATGAACGAATGTGGGATCAGATCATTAATTATGGCCCCTCAAGTAAAGTGTTACCTTGCAGTTAAACCCATTCAATTTTTTTTGAAGGAACAAGTAATGGACACAATAAACTGAGTTCATCAGCTGATTGGAACTTAATTAGAACAGAGCACATGCAGTGCTTAGTCCAGAGCAAATGCAGTGCTTAGTCCAGAGCAAATGCAGTGCTTAGTCCAGAGCAAATGCAGTGCTTAGTCCAGCTAAATCTTTCCCTAAAATTTTCCAGAAAGGTAATCTTCTTTAATAGTGCTCTAATTGATGGAAAAGGCTGTTATACCACTTAGCTTGGTTCTTGTTTACAGTCTCATTGCTGGGTCTTGTCAACACTTACATAACCGAAAATGCCCTGGGCCGCCTGCTTGGTCTCATTCACAAGGTGACAGACCACAAGCCCGCGGCATCGGGTGTCGGAATGGAAATCTGTTTCTGGTTTTTACCACAGCTTGATAGATGCATATGCTTCCCCATGCTGGTATACGGGTTCTGACCTTTTCGTTACGATACCACTCATACCGAAAGTCTTGCTTTGACCTGTTTTCTAAGCGAAAGTGGTAACTGAGACTGCATTCACGAACCACAATACTTCAACAACCCCCGCAAACTACCTTCCCTGACCCCCCCCCCCCACTACCCTTCAGTGATGCTGCTACTTATCGGACTGCCTTTTCTTTTATTACATTTGCACATTCTTTAATTGCACTACTACGCCTATTTGCACTACACTGCAAACGCACAGAATCGAGCACAGTTTTGAATACTTTTTTTATTTATATTGTGTTTGCTGTATTATATTGTGTTGTTGATTTTATACATTTATTGTATTTGTGTTAATGTGTAGCATCATGGGGGCCAAGGGAAACCATATTTCAACACACTGTGTACTTGCACATGGATGTGTTGACAATAAAGAACTCTTGAGTCTTAGTCTTGAAGGCCATCGCACTGTATACAGTTAATGTTTATTCCTTGTGGTAACTGCAGTGCAGGTGTAGGTCAAAGGCTCCTTCAACTGTTCAACTCAAGTTATTCCATATAAGGTGAAATAGTGCAGCCCTGACTGTAATAAACTGGTATGTGCAAGAGTGGAAGTTGAATATGTGTGTATTCACACATATAATGTATGTTTTGTTAGCCATGACTGTTGTGCGAAACACTGAACGGTTCTTCTGTATCCTTTAGGATTCACAGTTTGTTCAGTAGCTGATGTCTGAATGATTGTTTTCAATGAATCTTTTCTTCTTCGACCTTCAGATCCATTTTGTAGGTTTACCTAGTCATTCTGAAGTAGAGGACTTACTGTCACAGGTAAGAGGGTCCCTGCTCTGTATTGTAATGTGATACCTTTTATCCTGAGAAACATGCGTTCTACTTAAAAGGCACTAGAATTACATCTTGTCAAAACTGCAGGGATATCTTTGAAAACTTTCAGTCATTTTTATGTCAGTAATTTAAATTATTTCGAAATAATCGATTTCATGCGAACTTGTTGTATATGTTGTTACCAGGCTTTGCCGGCTGTCCCCGTTGACGTTTTGGAGTTGCTTAGATCACTACATGCCCAGAGTCTGAAGGATGAAGAGGTGTTGCTCCTCAAAGATACTAGGAAACTTCTGGAAAATAAAGACAGTGTTTCCCAGGTGGGGGCCACAGAAGGAGACTCAGCAAACTCCAGTCAGCTCCCTCCTTTGTGTTTTTTTTTTCTTTTTTTTTTTTTTGTGTCTTGCATACTTTGTCTGGTTCTGTAGCAGCATGTGGTATGGCTGTGATTGGCTGTGGTATGACTTTGGCAGTAAGTCATGCTGCATTCTTGATCTACAACCTAATGAATCACACAGATTACCGACGTAATACCTTCTTAACACATAATCCTAAATAAAAGTCCTGAAATTCCAGGACTTAAGAGGTAGTATTTGCATATGCTATACTTCCTATTGTTTCCGCTTCAGGATTATTAGTTACGACTGAGCTTTTCATTTCAAAATGATTTATCGGTCTTGCAAGAACAGAGATACTTAACGTCACCTTGCTAATGAAATGTCATCTGAGATCTGAACCCTTGGCAGTGTCACCCCAAAAGCTGTTAAATCCAATGTACCTGAATAGTACAACTACTCGTTATTCAGCAACCATTCACAAGCAAGACAGTAATAAAAAAAATTTTTCGACCAGTGTTTGCTATTATGACCACATTTTGTATGCCTGATGATGAGCAGTGAGAGTGACCTTTAAATTGGAATGTTAAAAATGTTCACTCATGAAGAATAAAGGAAAGAGTATGGAAGGCTGTAATTATGTAAAGATCTAAGCACAGTCACAATCACGCCTAGGCAACCATGAGTTCCACTGGGTAGCCATTTTTCTGAAGGACCTAGTCGTTGGAAAAGAATTAGGTCACTAAACGAGGAGTGGTTGTATTGAATCACGAGTAGTTCAGAAGCAGTGCTTCAGAGTTTTCATCCTTTGCGCATTTCCCCTTTGTTTATCTTTCTGTGCTGCTTGTTTACGGAGTTGCTTTTCTTTTGCCTGTTCTGTGGTCCCAGGCTACGTGTTCAAAGGCCATCTGCGTGTTTCGGCACTGCCGGAGTCCACAGGGCATCGTGGGAACCATGTCAGCCTTGCTTACGCGGTACGTGGCGGGGATGAAGTATGCACTGGAACTGCAGTGTCTGCAGAAGGGCGTGTCGGACGCCTGCCCGCTCGAGGACGATGACACTAACCAGTCCGTCTCGTCCATCGAAGATGACTTTGTTACCGCGTTCGAGCACCTAGAGGAAGAAGAGGTGGCTGACAACTTGTGTAAGTAGTGGCAGGAGTACCTGAAACATAACAGTCACTACCAACCCTTCACTGTTTATTGCACTGGAAATATTACATTGCAGATGTTCATGTTTTCCTTTAATCTGAATGGTAACCTAAAAGATTAAATTAATTAGAAGCCTTTCTGGAATTTTTGAGCAAATTAATCATACGAAAAAGGCCCCAGTAATCATTTTTAAAAAATATATTCGTTATTTATGTTCTAGTAATGTATGGTATTTTGACAAAGAATTTTGCAGTAATAAGACGATAAGTTTACATTTTATCATAAGTTTTTGGCCTGTATGATTTGTTCTGACGATACGGTTCCATCAGAAATCCCCCACAGGGGCCAGTATCACAAAGGTGGATTTTTGTGTTAGCAAGATAAGTTTGGGCGGAATGTAACTGAATGAAAAAGTCCACCCTAAATCAGATAAGTTATCTAGCTAACCAGTAAATTTTCCAAACTTTGTTGTCCTGTAGATATCATTCAAAATGATCATCAGTTGACACTGTTGGCCTATAATGATTTTTTCCATGCTTTAATATTTATTAAAACCTGAAATGTATATTTAGACCCTTCAATATGACACTCAATGAGGAAGTTTCTGGCTGATACTGAAAGATAGAAAATGCATTTATTAATATGTTACTGTATCGGCCGAAACTGATAGTTAGCCCATACAATAGGTGCATCTCTACTCAAAATTGAACTTGGATGCAATCTGTTTATTTTGATCATGTAAAAAATGTATGACAAAAATTCTTTAATTAGGCTACTGGTAACATGCAGAAAGTACTTTTCTACCTTGTTTGTACATCTTGTTTTAAGCGTTTTTGAGGCATTTTCAGACAATTTGAATGTCATCCAATCGAGGATATGCAAGTGGCAAATGCTTATGTTTTTCATAAGTTTTTGGCCTGTATGATTGTTCTGACGATACGGTTCCATCAGAAATCCCCCAACAGCGTCCTAGAGACAGCTGGCCCCCGTGTATCACAAGCTGTAGCGATTGCACAAAGCAGCCCAAGCTCACAACTCCCAAATCATCCGTTGCTTTTTTCATATTACTCGTGTTCTCGTACAGTTGTGCGCTATTTTTTTTGTGGGATTTTCCATTAAATGCTATTTCCAACTCTCAAAACAATTTTTAGAAAGATTGCAAATCGCTGTGCTACCAGTTGCTGTTAAAAGCATAACATACTCCCAGATCTACACCCTCTTATCTGATGTTCCTGCCCTCCCCCTACTGCGAAGGGTTTGCGCATGACGTCAGAGCAGGCGGAAGTCACTGCGGTCACACCCACTGAGTGGCAGCGTTGAGCTTGAATGTCACAAAAATATCCAAATTAGGGAAGAGATGTTGTGCAATTGATTGTATAAATTAATTTAGAAGAAATAGGAGTTATCTTCTTACAGACCTGCCAAAAGCTAAGTAAGTAAGTATCGGACATGGATACATGGCCAAAACCCGATCCATCGAATAGGTCTGGATCGGTAACGATACCGATCCGAATATCGGATTGCACTGCTTAAAATGGTTGAACAAAGTACTGAATCATTGGGTCTGAATACTTATATAAATGTGAGATTTTAGTTTTTAATAAAATTGAAATAATTACAAAAATTTGTTTTCATTTCGGTCTTTATGGGGTGTTGTGTCAGTTGATGGGAAATAAATCTGTTCAGCTGATTTCAGATCAGGCTGTCAGCACCGTTCAGCTCAGTACAGTGTACGCTTTCGGCACAACGTTTGGAAGAAATGAAGGAGTACTTGCATTATGTGGTAGTTTTAAAAGTTTGTTATATTCTTTTTTATTTATTGAATTTGAGTTTTCTTTGCCTTGGAACTGCCTATCCGAAGTTGAAATTGCCTGATATCACTGCTAGATGGCAGTGGAAGATTTATTTTCATTCATTTAGCTGCACGTCATGTTTCTTAACACTGTTAGACAGCTCTGGTCAAAATGTCCATTTTAATTACTGAGATTCATACATTGAGATGGATAATCACTGAACAAGTTATTGTTGTGAAGACCATTAATAGAGTTTTATTTCATTTTATAGCTTTTCATAACCAACGGAACCAACGTGATGTGGCATCTCAGACGGGCCCGTCCCACTCTAAGGACTTCTCAGGCTCCCGCTTGATTATCAGCTCGTTTTCCAAGAAGCCTTCGGCAAAGAAATCCTCTTTCTCTAAAACTCTGTCAAGTTCTGGACCGGCATGGAACCCAGGGGAAGAGAGCCAATGGGATTTCTACACACCCAGCTGTCTGACAAAAGGACCTGTTGCTGCTGCATCTGCCACAGAGTCAGACGAGTCTGACTGCTCAAGCCCAAGTCCGATAATCTTCTTGGATGAAGTTAGCTACCAGAAAAGTTTGAAAGCAAAGCTTGACATTCCTAAAATCCCTGTTTTCAAAGATGGGGTTGAAGACTCTGATTCAGAAGTGAGCGAGTTTTTTGATAGTTTTGACCAGTTTGACGATCTGGACCAAGCTCTTGAGAGCAGCTCCAAGTTCCTCAAGGAGCCAGCAGCTGCCGTATATGCAGAGGACTCCAAATGTACGTCTCGAGGCTTCTCTTCAAAAGCAATGAACCCCCATCGATTTGACCACCCAACTCTTCCTGCCAACATAAAGAAACCTACTCCACTCAAGCCAGGATCACTTTGTGGTTCCCACTCAGATATTCCTGATTCTCCACGACCAGTGAGGACTATAACTGATGAAACTGGGGTGCTCTTCAGTCCAGTTCGATCTTCAGCATTTAGTCCTTTGGGAGAAGGCAGCACCTTAGAGTATTTTTGGAAGCCAGATGGAGATGGAGAATTGCGCAAACCTCAGGATCTCTGCACTCTCTATAAAACATACTCAGATTTTGCCAATAATATGTCGACGGAAATTCTCAGATCAGTTTGTGGATATTCGACTCCTGTTAATATGAACGTCAACAAGAACTTGAGCTGTGTTTGCCATAAAGAATTCAAAAATAGCAGCGGACACCTCATGAAATTGTCTGATATTCAGGAGACAGTCACCATATCAAAATCTCAGAAATCACAAACACTGAAGGAAGGCATACAGAAATTTGCTACCGATCTTGTAGAAATGAGCCTTGGGAGTGCCTTCAGAGACCTACAGAAAGGGGTATCTTCTTGTACCACTACACTTTGTCATTTAGCTGCAAGATTGACTTCTTCAGTGTTTCAAATGGCTTTTCATGAGATAGGTATGAGGCATGCATATGTTTTAAAAGAACGTGCTATTAATGGCTTAGCAAGCTTCCTAGTTAAGGAAGCAGTATCAGGTGCTCTCAAGGAGTTTCACTTTGTAAAAAAGCAGATTTTCAACAACACAGTTGCCAGGTTTGCTGCAGAACTGGCAGAGGAATTGGTGTTTGAAGGTATAATGGAAGTCTGTCAGTTTTCACATCCTTCTACACCTTTGACACCAAGTGATTGGTCCTTCGAACAGGAGGAGGAAGTGGTTTCTTCTTATGCCTCAGACCTCTCCGAGTCTGTGCTCCAGGAAGCATTCATAGAGTTATCTCAGGCTGATGTGACCTTCACTACCCAGGCTGCCATCAGTGTCTCGCTTGACAATATCCGTTATGTCAGCTCAGAGGATGCTGCAGAAACCACAAAGACCTGTAATGCTACCTCTCATTATGTAGGATCGACGTGTACAACTGAGGTACTAGAATCAACAGAAAATGACTGCACTGTGAGAAAAGCTTTATTCTGCATGTCTGGGATTGCCAGTTGTGTTCCAGTGCCTGTGGCTGGGAAAGCAATCTCTCAATTTCAGGGCCCAGTAGATACTTGTCAGTACAAGTCCAGTATTTGCCAAACATCACAAACTAGTCCTAAAAAAAGCAGCAGTTTGGAAGGAAGACTGGTGACAACATCTGTCTCTGAGATATCCACAGCAACACAAACTGACTTAGTTCCCTTTGCCTCTCAAAGTGTTTACAATGAGACATGCACCACTGAACCAGTGGTGAGTATAGATTCCCATGAAACTGTCGCTGGAAACCAGATTTCTAATAAGTCTGATTTGCACAACTATTCTGGAAACATGGCTGATATGATTGTGAGTGAAGCTTATGAGCTCATGACTGCTTCCAAAGTAAAGAAATCAGAGAACGGTGCTGACAGCCTGAACAGAACTATTGGAAGCCAGATACCTTCTTCAGATAAGTTGATGCCTCAAAATTTGGTCAGTGAAAATGTTACCAATTCCACTTCAATACATCCAGCCATCAAAGGAACTTCGCATTTTTCCATACCTACCGAGGCTGATTTTTTTCCGATGAACAAAAAAGACAGGACACATCAGCATGGAATGCACTTAAGACTTCAGGATTCCATGAGCCATTGTTCAGGATTTTATGATAAATATAACAAGCCTAAAAGCACAGGTTCTCAAAAGAGGGGAGATGGTTCTGATCACCCAGTCCCATCAACCCTGATTCCTAATTCTGGGTCCAGAGGAATGTGTAGAGACACTTATGGATCAGACCTCAGGAACATAGGTCAGGTTACCGAGACAGCTTCTGAAATGCGATCCTCATTGATGAAGGATACTTTAGAGGTGCCAAGTTTTGAGGCACCTAACCGAAGTGTCAAGAAGATGCCGGCTGAAGAGATTCCATGTACATCTGGGAGGAAAACGCATGGAGTGCCAGGGACTCCACCGTCAACTCCACAGCTGCCCCTTCCAGTCTCACAGGAGAAACATTTCAAACAGTTTTCCAAAAAGTTAAAAGGCAAGCTTGCCAAGGAATTTTCTCCAGCCACACCTCCATCCACCCCACATTATCAGCCTGCCCTAGGTCTCGTTGAAGCTAACACTGATTCTGAGAATGCCGACTTCTTGTTGAAGCTCATGAGGTCTCTTTCTGAAGAGGCTGAGAATAATGAAGATAGAGAGGATCGGCAATATGATAATTCCCGTATAGGAGCACTGGCTGGTGCTCAGGCAGATCAAAATGTACCAGTAGAAACTGACAATAAGGTGGTAGAAAAGGGAGCTTTTCATTATGCAGAGCGTTTAGCATGCCACATTGTTTCCATGGCTACTGAGATGGACACACTGGCACTGCCACATGGCTGGAAGTCTGAAGATAAGCCATGCACAGAGAACCATACCGTACATAGTGCCAAGTTCTCAGAGCAGACTCTGAATTCTTTATGGACCTATGCTGGGGAAATTGCAGGAGAGGTCATCAATGACGTCAAGAAGATGATTAGTTCTAGTCAGTATAGACGTAAAGCTGTCATGAGTAACAAGGATGTGGTTGCTGACAGTCAGCAGAATCAACCCGTTAGTTGCAAAAGTAACAGATTTGGGAGTCTAGCCAACCATTCTCAAAGTGATTTCATGGTCCAAGGTCCTAACTTTCAAATGAGTGGGTCAGGTGGGCTATCCTCCAAATATCCTAGCTGTGAGAGTGTAACTGATGAATATACTGGGTACATCATCAAAGTTTTAAAAAAGGAAGGCGGCAGCAGGGAGCTTATTTTGGATCAGTATGCCAGCCGCCTTGCTTACCGCTCCATTAAGTCAGGTCTAGCACATGCAGCCAAGAAGATCAAGCAAAGGTCGAACCTGAAGCTTCACCCTAGCAGGAGGCCACATTGTGATGGAACCCATGACGTCTGGAGGGGTTTAATGCCAGAGGCGTCTTCTGTGGATGATAACAGGAAAGCGTTGTCCTCTGATGAGGCTGTCCGATGTACTTGTCAGAACCCAGAAGACTTGAACAGGAAAGAGTACCTGGAACTTGTAGACTTTGCGGAGTCTTTAGCATATAACATCACATGTGATGTCACAAGAAAGCTCCGACTGTCATCGGTTCGACTACCGAAATCTCTGACCGATTCCTGTCTATACAAAAAGTCCAAACTAGATGGTGTGACAGGCAGCCCGATAAAAACTCACTTTTCATGTTCCTTGCTGCCTTTTAAAGAGAAGACCAAACAATATCACAGCACTGGCAGCTTAAATGACCAGAACTACAGTGACAGTGTCATGCAAGTAATAGAGCACTATGCTAGGAAAATAGTTGATGATACCTTGGAGATTACACTGGCATCAGCTATGCCACAGGCTTCTGAAGACAGAGGACCACTGGACCAAAATTCATATGCAGAGAAGCTGACAAAAACAGCAATGAGCTCTGCACTGGCTGACAAAGCATGTCGGTACTGCACTGTCAGGGAGCGTTCGTTGTGTAGAAATGCTAGCAGGCAACATTTCCAGGACAGCCTCAGCAAACAGAGGCAGGATTTTGAGGCAGGCACCGGCTGCAAAGGGCCTCGGGTGTGTGGCCTTGAAATTCCAAAAATTCACATTGACTTGGAGAAGAGGGCCGCGTATGCCGAGGAGATGGTGTCATCAGCTATTGAGAAAGCCAAGAGGGAACTGAGCAGCGCCAGTCTGAATGCAGACAGCGGGATCGGGCACGATGGCGCAAGCTTTGCCGAGAGCCTCACCACAGAGATCATGACCTCAGCGATATCCAACGTCTGCCAGACCATAAACCTTAGGTAACGTACCACTTGTTAGTGACAAATTCACTATGTCAAGTCATGTAAAGTTACACAATGATGGTGATTGTCTTAGGTGATGAAACTTAAAATGAGATATTGCATCACAAACATATTATGTGTAAAACTTTCTTGGGCTCATGAATAATTGTATGCCTCTATACATTTCCTATGTTTGATTACAGCCAAACATAGGCAAGGCTACAGCATAGACACAAGCTAGTACCAACGCTAGTTTCTTCTTGCATTGTGCTGCGCCCTGTGTTCTAGCAGCCCAGGGAAGGAGGGGATGCACACTTCGGAGTCTACTGCTAGCCAACAGCTTTGTCTAAGCGTGGGTGATGACAGTATTGGCAGCTGGTCGAACCTCAGCTTCGAGGAGGAGCATCCGGACGAGAGCAGCAGCTTCCTGCACCTGAGTGACAGGTGAAGGACAGTGAGAGACACATGATGGTCTATGAAAGTATGGTTACACCTCTGTAGGTCAAAATTCTATGAAGTTGAAGTGACTAGGTATTATAAATTCATAGAACTTTAGCTAGAATTTGCCCTGTAGGACTGGACCAGATTGGTCCAGGCTGTGAACATGAAGCCCTTATGCCATCTTTTCTTCTCTGGCAGTAATGGGAACAGCAGTAGCTGGAGCAGTCTCGGGTTGGAAGGAGAGATTTATGAGGAACATTTGTCCTTCTCCCCCTCATACAGGTTGGGCAACCCAGGAGTCTTCCGAAACATATTTTGTAGATTGAGTAATAATGATAATGATATTAGTAATAACACTGCATAATCTCAGAGCTTTGAACACCAAGAACTGAGATGATGTCCTTTGACTTTGGTAGCTTCTATCTGTCAAAAACAGCCGGGGAACACAGCACTTCTTTGTTAGCACTGACTGTGCGGTCATACAAAAGGAATTGGTTAATGGAATTTCTCTGTGTGGGCATAGGAAATGCTAGGGAGGGGAGGGGTGGGGGGGTGGGGTAGTTGTTCATTCATTCCACTAGCGTGTTGTGAAGCACTGGTTCTGGAAACTTCTTGTCTGTGCTGCGAGTGAGCAATGAGGGGATACCTCTTACCCTGCCTCTCAAACAACTTCCAGACATGATTATTAAAATGACTTAATCATTATTATAGTTCATTCTTTACATCATAAATCTGGTCACTTGACCAGGAAAGTAAATTCAAAGGTGACACAGTATTTGTTTGGTTAATTCCGTAAGGGACAGTTGTTTGCCTTGAGCTGTGTCACCAGGAATTACATTCTTGCTTTTACTGGCAGTTAACTTCAAGGGGTTGCTTTAGATCAGTGACTCTAGACTGATTTAGCCTCAGGACCTACATTTTCCTTGGTCATTAAGTCAGGACCTAATTTTTTTTTAAATTTTGGACCATATATTTTTATTCACACACTTCCCTACCCTTCAGTTCAGAAACACGTCTTTAGAGAGACTTTAGAGAATATCTGTGATATGGGATGTCATTTTTCGCTTGTTAAGTCACGATGTTCGAGTTACGTGACAAGGCTGTTTCTGGGGCAACCCAGGTACAAGCCAATATGCTGCAGTGTTGTGTGCCTCAGTTATTAATTAAAATCTAAAACAACAAAAAAACTAAAGAATTGGTTGTAAACTAAACAGCCATTTTTTAAATTTTTTTGAAGGGGTGCAACAGAAAACTCAATTCATGGTTCAGTACAAACCTCAGTTTTGGATCACCTGTCTGCAGCTGAATTAGTTTAAATGCCACGTTTCTGCTTTGCTCTGGTCATTCAGACTCGCGTGATGTTTAGCACGTTGGATGTGTGTCCAGCAACATTCTCAAGTTCGATATAACAGCGCTGACGGACGGTTCTCGGTTTATCAGCCAGTCTCTCTCCAGCGTTGGTGTAACCTATTGGGAAACCAAAATGTTCCCAAACTTCCGATTATGACCGGATGAAACCAAGAACAGCTGTAATGAACTCACAGCCAAAATTAACAATGTTTTCAATAGTTAACATCTACGTGTGAATATACAGTAGGTTCTATGTCAAGCAATGTGTTCACTGTGAGTACCGAACCAAAAACCTACCTAGGGAGTCCCTATGTAGTGATATTTCCTCCTGGGAGAACAGCTACACTTTTCAATTAAAGGAATTTAGCCTCAATTTCACCCTATTACGACAGAATGAAGTTTTGGTGAATGATGTTACCGGTTCCACCATTATGGTTTGTTTGGCCCCAGAAACAGTGTTACACCATGCATTACATCAGACTTAAGCAGATAATTGCCCTTTACATACTTCAAAAAAGTTTAAAAACAAATTACATGAAGGACAAGCCATCTCAAGCAGCTCAGAGTGCAGCACCAACGTACCCGGGAGATGTGGCGTGTGTCTGCCTTCACCTGATCACCTTTGACATGTTTAGTTTACAGTTTCTTCATGAATGCCCCCCCCCCCCCAGCTTACTCTAATTATACGTCTTCCCTTCTCCTGCAGTGACAGCACAGAGGATAAGGAAACTGAAGCGAGGGCGGAATTGGATGGTAATGATTTGCTCAGAAACCACTGACCCCCTTCTGACATGCGTTATGGGAGGGGACTTGACAGTGTTTAGGCCATCCGAACCTCAGCGATGGTTTGATTTGGAACTTGCAGCCACTTGTAAATGCCTGCCGTCGTATCCTTTCAGTGAGTGCAGATGATGGGGGTTTCTCTACCTCCACCGTTGTCCCTCTCCCAGGGGCTGTAAGATTACCTTTCAGTGAGTCCCAGCTGATTCCACTTTCCATGGCACAGGGGACGTGGGAGGCGTGGCTGGTTTGGTTTGTTGATTCTGGAATGGGTATGGCTGTCGTTAGGCCAGTGTTGGCGGTAATCACATGATCACGTGAGCATTGGGTCTGGCAGGGGGACCGCATGCTGAGAGGGGCCTGCTATTGGTCAACGTGGATGTAGGTGAGCCAGCCCTGGACTCGCAACTCAGGGCTATGCTACAGTGGATCGCCGCCTCCCAGTCAGGCCTGCCAGCTGTGCGACTGGAGTTACAGCAGGTTAGTGACCCACAAGGCTAATAAGTAGGCAAGTATCCATAAATAAGGTCATACAAACCTTTCCACAGTGCTGGGTTTTGCATAAATACCGACACAGTCAATCCCGCTACAGCGTGACTCGTATTCCTGAGAAACCTCACGTTCACTAAAATCGTCTGCTAAAATAGACACATCAAATGGGAAAAATAGGATTTGGGGAATACCGCCAAACAAAAAGAATTAAATAAAAACAGTGATACCAGTGATCAACAATGTAATTTATATGCATTTTAAATAAGAAATAATAATTGCATTACGACAGATTTGTGGTGTGATATCACACATTATAGCAGGACTGGCTGTACATCGGAGTAGTATACACTTGTATACTTGTGATAGATTTCCCATTGACGCCCTTGTTAAGGAGCCCATGCTATTGAAAAAGGTAGATGTCATGTCTATGGAGCTGGACCATGGCGTACCTTATGAGAGCCGTGTGTCTGCCTCTCCCCCGTTTAGTTTCCTGCCGTGCTGCAGAGGGTCCTGGAGAGGGAGTGGAAGGTCGGGGAGCTCCTGCAGCTGCTCATCAGGTACTGTGACGAGCTGGTGTCCGAGGCGGACACAGAGGCCAGCGGGGAGAGCTGTCAGAGCAAGCCGTTCTTCCAGTGGCTGATGGAGAATGCCTAGGTCTGCACCCACCCCTCCCCCAGACAGCCATCGCTGCTGGAGTCCCCTGGATCATGAAAGCTACCCGCCACACGCAGTGAAGTGCAGTGTCCTTGCCAAAAGTAGATGCCTAGTCAGTGGAATGTGTCTGTTGTCTCGTGTGCTGCTTTTGCCCTAGATGTATCTATCAACGTTGAGGGGGGGGGGGGGGGGGCGGCATGTGAGTGTGCACGCACGAGTGCATCTCGTATGCCATGGCTGGAAGCGCTTCTCGTAGTTTCTCGCCTCACGATCGTTCGCCGCGTGTGTTTTTTGATGTTCCCGTGCACATGTCCATAGATATGCGGCCGTTCGCGGCCGTCTCTGCGTTACGTGATGTGGTCGCACCCATTCCTCGTGTTATGAAGATTAGAAATAGTCTGCCCAGTAATAAAGAAAAATGTGTTTTGTATTCATCAAGGAATCCCAGAGCTTCAGGGAGGACCGTGCCAGTGTAATTTCTCTTATAATTTCTGAGGTCATTTCTACTTGACAGCCCAAGAAACAGCTATCGCTTGTATTAATAGATTAGCTGCAGTAATTTAATATTATGAAGAAAGTGACCCACATAATATTATTCTTGTAACTAAATGCCAGATGTTTTTTTTCCTTGTAAAATCTGAACACGAATATGCACGGATGCAGACTCCTCAGTCTGTGCCATGTTGTGTCCTCTCAGAATATTTTTTAGAAGAGCAACCCCTATCATAAGAGATTTTTCAGAACTGTTTATTTTGATTCTTATAAAAGTAGTGTTTTTTACACTTGCTATGTGCAAAAAGTGTAACGTATTATATTCACACAGTATGCATATAAAGTATAGATGTAATTATGGACAATGGATGTAAATTCCTTATCCCTAATTGTTAATTTACCTTAACTGAAAGTAAAAATAATTACATTTTATATGTGTGTGTGTGTGTGTGTGTGTGTGTGTGTGTGTATTTTATAGATATATATGTATGTATGTATGTATAGTGTATGCACACGCGCACACACACACACACAGTATATATATAAAATGCTTCCCTTAAGGTCTTTATTTAAAAGGGAAATGGGCAAGTTGAACATGATATAAGGAGATATCATCTTTAGGAAGGCTTAGTGAAAGTTGACACAGTTTTGTGAAATACTGGACAATTTTGCTGATTTGAGGACTGACCACATTTGGCTTAACTGCCTTTGTAATGGAGCTAAATCTGCATTTTAGATGACTAGTCCTTGTTTTGGTCCTTACAGTAACACAATGATCACTGAAGTATTTCTATTGTGCATGAAAGCACAACACAGAATGCAGACGGCTCCCATATTCATCACACACTAGATATGTATTTTGATGGTAGATGGCAGATAATGGGGAATTTTACTTGCTCCAGATCTCTCTGTCAATCAGTGCTCACTGTCTGACATCCTTTCAAGGGGTTTTAGAAGATTGTGGTACGTGATGGACCTAGTATTCAAATGATTTATCCTGAGTATCAAGGACAATTTGCTAGACTTGTTAAAACTTGTTGAAAATTTTCATATGCGACGAAATATCCAAAAAATGCACTTTGTGAACATTTGAGTATTTGTAAGCCCTCCCCCCATGGAGAATGAAACAATAGTTAACAGATATTTTTGGGAACATTTCCGACAGCGTGGATTTAGCAAAACCATTCTGGGCTGTTTGTTGATGTATTTTAAGTGCTGCAGTCCCAGTTTCTCATTGTGGATGGTGCATTATACTTACCTTATATTGGTATGACCGCCTCTCATGTATAGCCCATATGACGTATGACCGCCTCTCATGTATAGCCCATATGACGTATGATCTCCTCTCATGTATAGCCCATATGACGTATGACTGCCTCTCATGTATAGCCCATATGATGTATGATCTCCTCTCATGTATAGCCCATATGACATACACCTGCACAACTCACTGACTTAGGCCAGCTGCAAGATTCCGCCCTTCTCTGTGAACCTCGGTGATGTGGTTGGGTAGGAAGCCTTATCAGTGCAATACAATGCAGCATAATGTATTACAGTAAGTGCCAAGCAGCCCATCAGTGAACCAACACTAATGGTAATGTAGTACTTTATCTATTCAGTTACCCGAAAATACACCGTGGACAAATCCTGGCATTACAATGTCTTCACACATTTGTATGTGTGATATTTAGTTTAATACTGGCCTGGTTGTAATTCCTGAATCGTATTCAACTTTATGACAAATTCAGCCAAAGGTCTGAGCAAGTGTCTCAAAAATTAGGAATAAAAGAGGTTGGTCCTTTTACAGATAATCTTGCGTATTTTGCATATAGTGCATATTTTGGGCAACAGGTAGATACTTGTAAATACAGAAGATACTTATTATATTTGGGTTTTTCGAGCCAGCAGGAAGGAATAATGTCATTTTCTTTTGCTGTAATTGTAATATTGAGGCCTGTGTGTTTAGCCTCTTGTACTTTGTCACTTTATTTGATGTATCATTTGCATACATGTATATCTCTAAAATAACCCAATGCCATTTTGTGTTCATGCTGAATGTGTTCATAGAAATTTGAAGGTTAGCATTTTGTAATGTGTAGTGCGATTCTCATCTTATCAGACATTGTAGCAAGTTAACAACATGCTTACTGACATATATTTTTCTTGTGTATTTGTATAATCTTGCCAAATAAGATATTTATTTATGTAAGTTATAATAGTGAATACACTACTTGTCACTTATTGATATTGCTAAATAGTTTATGGATTATAAGCTTAATGTCAAAGCACTATATTTGTCATTGTTTAAGATGTGGCTTAAAATAAAGCGTTTTCATGTGTAAATATGTCTGAGAGGATATTCATGCTGTTATAGCAGTCACATTATTAACACATGCGAGCTCATGAGTTATATTTTCTTTGAATTGAAGATCAAATGACTACTTTTTTTCCCTCTTGACATGAAAAAGATCCCAAACAGTTAGCCAGCGTTTCTTTCACGTTCGTTAACTCATAATACAATCCCTCCAATCAGCCATAAAATCCCCATGGGATAGGCTTACATTCAAATGTAAGGGACCTACAGTTGGGGTTAAATTTGATCAGTTTTAGGAGATCCGGCCATTCCTATAGATGAGCTGACAGAAGAATCAGTTGATATTTAATTAGATGTTATGTTATACTTGATTTCGTTACTGACAGTCTTCTGTGTGTAACATATCGGAAATATTTTATGACGGAAATAAAGGGATTTGAATGGAAGGCACATCTGTCGAGGAGAGAGATTCCTTACAGATGGAACAAAGCAAGTGTTTTTTTTTTTTTTTTTTTTTTTTTTTTTAAACCTTCGTCCGGCAGCTTTAGCAGAATCATGGTCTGAATGCACTGCTGTGCCAAACATGTTTGCTTTACCATGAGGGGCTCTATAAACCCTGTATGGGCCCCTCGTTGATCATTTTTTTATTATTATTATTTATTTCATTTTTAGCACATGTAAAATATCGCAGTGGCTGAGTTGGCCGAAGAGGATGGACAGATTAGGAGGGGAAAGAAAAAGAAATAAAAGAAAAGAACAAAAAAAAACCCGATATGAGTAAAGCAGAAAGTTTATTTGTGAGTACAGGAAAATACTACACACATTAATACTTTATAATTATTATAATATTTTTTTTCTACGTAGAGTAGACAGTTAAGTCCAGAAAACATCTGGTGACCTGTAGTGAAGGAATATAGACTAGACCACACCTAAGTTGACTTTGCATATTTGCTACACATTTGTTTACTATTAGACAGGCTTGGTTGTAGACAATGATCTCTTGAGTTAGCAGAGATTCAGCTCTATTGACTTTACAGATAATGACATGTTCGTTATAATAGTAACCATTTACCATGTTGCCCAGTTAGTACAGTACTGTGACAAAACCAGTTGCCTTCAGAAACTGGTATTTGGGCTGACTGGACAAAACCAGAAATTTACATTAAACTGAAACAAAGGTATGCCAAGTTGCTATGAGTAAGCTTTGCTCAGACTTGTCTATGGAAAAGAAAATCAGCTAAATTGCTTCTCATTTTCTTGTTTGAAAGTTGTATATTTCGTGAAACTAATTGTGTTGTATATACAGTGACACAAAATATGTTCTTTTAAACAATGGCTCCATTTATGTTTTGTTACAGGACTGGGTATCATTTCTTCTTAGTGTTCTTGTAAATTTTCAGCATCATTAACTTTGTGCTGCTTCATAACAGCAGAGCTGCATATGGATTACTTATCTCTACCCATATTCCCGGGTGTCCTTACCTAGTTAGCCAAATTACAGCAGTACAGTTCTTGAACCTGAAACCTTTAGGTCACCAGTCTAGGTTGTTAACCACAACAGACAGGAAAGCTGCTCATCTCTCCTAAGCATATTAGCTGTTTGTTTCCAACTACAACCACAATGCATACCTCAGGGTCTGGAGTATCCAGTGGCAGTATCCAGGATGTCTCTGGTAACACACAACATGACAACGCTCTGGCAGTGGTCTGTGTTGTGCTCCTGGGTTGGGCAGGTCCGTGTTCCAGGCCTGTGAACGTTGTGGAAATCTGCTAGACTTGGTGGGTTGCTCCTCCGGGGTTCTCCCACAGCTTGCTGATGGACCAGGATGACCTTGTTTGTGTTGGAAGTGTCCAACCTGGAGGTTTACAATCAGCCAATACATCATTCTTCAAATGTGAGTCACTTCAGTGCATAATATACCTTCTACAGAAAGTAGGGGAAAAGGCACCAAGGTAAGTCTCCAGTGAAAAGCGACTCACAGGAAATGCAATGACTTTTTCCCTCTTGAAATGAACGGAGTGACACCAAATTAAAAGACATTTGTAAATCTATACATATTAACCAGTTAATTTAAACAATCAGACTTGATTTCATTTAAAAGTATAATCATTTGAGGAAATTAAAAATAAAAAAACAAATAATTTGATGTGAATGGGAAATTGAATAAGATTTACACAAGCATATTTTATGACTTGTCATACTGATTATATTGCAAAAAAAATAAATCAAAAATTATAACCCTATTTAGGAATAACTGAAAACCTTTCCATTAGGACTCGTAGCTAAAAGTCACTCCCTAAGCACTTTCAAGGAAGGAAACTAGCATGATCATATTAATACCGCAGAAGACCATAAATCTGAAACTTTAGCCTTTGACTTTTCTAGCCCGGGAAATGCTTTTTTAAATCTGGGAGATGTGTTGAAATGTAACACAAAAACCTTTGGGTATCATCTATCATGTCTAACAATAAGCAAACCCATCCTGTGGATTTTTCAAACAGCTTTACAGCAGTCAAATCGTTTATTATGGAGTTGGAAAGCTTTATTTATAACGCACTTACTGATCTAAAGAAGAATTGTGTATTTCAGGCTCTCATTAGTGCTTCAGGACAGGAAGTTTGGCTTTTCTCTTTTCATTGTATTCAGTTTCCCAGCAGTGGCACTTCATAAGAAAATTTTACTTCAGACTCTCATCTAGTTTGTTTTGACTAAAACTGCCATTTTGAGTCATATCAGGCTGGGCGGTGTGCTTAGATTCCACCAGTGACTTTCTGCTTAATAGTGAACTCACTCTTCAATCATGATAAAAAAAAAAAGTTATTCCTGTTTTTAAAAGGAAAACAACCTGGGGAGAAACTGACTTCATCCTGCCTTAGTGTGCCCAAAACCTAAAGCCTTGATTATTTAAGATGGTTGCATCAGTATTTTGCATATAAATTGAGCAACATAATGTTGCAAGATGGGAAAGGTATATTTTGTTATTTTTAAATTATGAAGGTTCCTCGTTTATCGTCTGGGAGAGGCTGTGTTGTAATACAAGGATCTTTTTTAAAAAAAAAAAAATTATATACATTGCATCAACATGTAAAACTGTGAATGAAAGTGTCTGCTTTCTTCTGAAGTTTTATTTTCCACATTTGGTAATTGTCATTTTACTGCTTTTTCACAAATAAGATTATCTTACAAAACAATACAAGAACGTGTTAAAACTGGGCTTTATTTCAGATCAACCCTTAGCCGGGCTTCTAGAATACTAGAAAGAGGAGCACTTTTTTAAGTGACATTAAATGGGGTAAGATAGAAACTAGCGTTCAAGGGGTGAACCGGAGCAATCCTTGTATAGTGGTGCAGCCCTACATGTTTAGAAGTTGTGGACAGGGCCACAGTCCATTGAGATAAATACACACTGAGAGCAGTGGAAGTGACTTTACACACGCCAAGTGGGCAACTTCAGTAAGCATAATTAAAGACCGGGAAGCCTCTGACTGATGTTTCAGCTGAAATGGTCTACCTCGACAAACAATGCATTATCCTTGGCGTCCGGCCATCCTGAAGTCAAAGAGTTAGCTATTATGATACAGTAAACAGGCTTTATTAAAGAAAACTGAACCATGCAATGGTAGAAAAGCTCCTTCGATGCAGTTGCCCTCGCTAAATGTACATTGCTGTGGATAATAATAATATGCAACACCTATGCAGTAGTTAAATGCATCTGGAACTTTAATTTAATCCTAAGAAGTACAGCTATACCCTTAGGCAAGGTGGATAAACCAAAGGCTTCAATAAATTAGTCATATTTCCTATACTTGGTTTTGTGCTAAGATATACTTCCGATCCCTTATTCCTAATTAGTCACTTTTCACTTTGATTCTATGTGATCATAAACCTTGAGGATATATATACAGATTTAATATATGGGGTTATTTAAAGGGCAGCACATTCTACTTCTGTGACTGTCGAGATAAGTAACCGGAGTTTGCATAAATATGCTATTGGTTATGTTTCGTTTTTTGGTACTTTCATGGGCATTTCTACTTCTGGAATTTCTGGCAGGATGAGTAACAAAACAGATATTCAACTATACAGCTATATCACATATTTATCCATTTTTCCTTTCTTCTTTACAATAAAAGCTCATAATGTCCTCTTTAATAATGTGGGCCCTGTCACCCGGTGTGGAGACCGTGGTCACAAGCAAATGAAGTTCTCAGGCAAGGCCAGGTACTGTACTGACAAACAGCTCAAATGAGCTTTCTCCAAAAGCTGCCTTACGTGTAAGCAGGGATTGTTAGTGAAAACCATATGGGATGTGGGATTTCAGGATAAGATGATGCAGTGTCCTCTTTGTCTTTCTGCTGTGTTTTTCAAAGGTGACGTTATAGATTTCTGCTTCATTAATATTTCTTTCTTCGATCAAGTGTACATGCTTTATATTTTGCAACAATGTGGCTTTGAATGTGCTGTACCTGTTACAATATTTTTGCTGTCAGGAAGATATTTTCCCCAGGATGCTCATTTAAAA